GGGGGGGGGGGGGGGGGGGGGGGGGGGGGGGGGGGGGGGGCAGGAAATACCATCTCATCTATGTACGGGTGTGGTTGTGTCCCCTTGGCATACTCGAGTTTGCACCCCCACCGACAGCTCGGTCAATCCTCTACGTCATCAATGTGCCATGTACGGCAACAGTAGTAGCGTCGACCGAGGTCGGCGTCAATTTCGTGTGCTGACCTCCAATAGCAGCGTAGCCGTGGTGAAATCGGGGGGTTCGATAGGTTACTATCACTCGTCTTTATCTCCCTTGCGAGGCTGCCATCTAGTATTAACAGTAGTACCGAATCGGTCGGCACAGCAGTCGGCGTTGCGAAAGTCAGAGCCAACTTGTCGGCCGTGTCGCCGTGGAGAGCAAGCAGTGTTTACAGGGAGAAGGGTGTGTTAAGGGGGAGTTCTTGGTGTCGTTGATGCACCTCCTCGTTGTATTGTTGATGTGTCCATCCACAGCGTTCTTAGTCGATGGTTTCAACCCCCTTCTCCTCCCTCCCCGCACCCCTCCTTCCGGGAAACCCCGTCGCCCTGTAGGACGTACCAGTACTGGTTAGATCGATCAGTGATCTACACCATGTGGCGATGGGGGTTGTTCTTGGTATCGGTGGGCCTGTTCCTCTTGAGGATATACCTGATGAAGGGCTGGTTCATCGTCACGTACGGGCTGGGGATCTTTCTCCTCAACAACTTGATTGGCTTCCTCTCCCCCCAGGTAAAAAACTCTTCACACATCGTGTGAGGTTTTCCATCATCTGGTCCATGGTGTCCAAGTAGCTTTTTCGTCGCGCAGATCCCGTCACGTTAGTGTACCTGTGTGTGTGGGTAGTCACCGGCACTGGTGTTCGGGTAGCGCAGGATCAAGGCTTATCGTCGATGCTGGTTGGACCATAGACCTGTGCAGATGTTAGAAGGAACCGAGCAGAGATCGAATAATGTGAATGAGAGAGGAGAGAAAAAGTTCATGCGGGAGTACGAAAAATGGGTGACAACGTGCACGTCTACATCTCCAGTCCCACCTCTGGGACAAATTGTGAGCCCAACTTCTCCACACACACGGAAACCGGCTTCGAAATCGAGACAGGGTGTTGACAACGCTGCCGCGCGTGTCATCAACGCCGCACTCGACGTTTGAGAAAAACGTTATGGAAGTCCGTCCTACGGGAGAGGGGGGCGGGGCGGGGTATTCGATGCCCGCAGTGTGCCGGACGCAGCGTTTCGAAGTTTTCTTGACCAACATTAGAGGTGGGCGTTCGGCGGTGCTTGCCAAGAGAAGTCTGCGTAGATCGGACGGTGCCCCCCCGAGGCTTTGCTGGAGTCTGCGGCCTTTACGCGTCTAAAGGGCGTTGGTACGGGCGATGGACGCGATGGAGGGGTTCTTCCGGAACATAAGGTAGTGTCTTGGCCTTACGGCTGAGGCACGAAGCAAGCGCCTGGTGCTGCGTGGATCGTTGCGGCATGGAGTCGAAAGCTGCGAAGCAGATGATGTCGGAGGGATATATACATATCGCCGCTGCGGTGCACCTACCTGCTCCCACGGCGCACGTCCTTCGTCCCTCTAGGCTTGCTGGTTTCCGCGCCGCCTGCAGTTCCGCGATGCAAAATACCTCAGGTTATGGTTATGGTGACATCGCCCTCATACCTAATCCCCACCCCGTTTGTGTCCCCCTCGCGGGGTCTGTCCCCCCCCCCCCCCCCCCCC